ATGTATTACAGCGCAGTGTGTGCTTGATTTCAATAATACAGTATATAACAATATTCTCATTTCCAAACAATTCGAAGTGAAAGTGGGTTTTGTATAATATTTTTCACCTGTTCATGTTCATAGGTGGGTTAATAGCTTGGTATACTACGGGTTGTCTCTGAACACAGGCTCTCTATCTGGTGACCCATACATGAACTTTTTCCTGAGTGGTCTGGTCGAGATCCCAGCATACATCGCGTGTCCGTTTATAATTCAAAGGTGGGACTACCTCAAAGGTGTATTAGTGTCAATAATAATAATAATAATAATAATAATAATAATAATAATAATAATAATAATAATGATAATAATAATAATAATAATAATAATAATGAAATGTTCCGACTTATATGGCGCTTCGTGCCAAGGCATATGGCGCACATACGCAGATAGTTCTTTTTAAAATTCTAATACATTGCCCGTGCATGCGTTGTCAATTATTTCAATTAATCATCCATAGGTTTGGAAGACGTTCGCCTGTTTGTATTTTCCACGTGGTTGGGGGACTTGCTTGTATTGCCACCGCATTTATACCACCGGTCACAGGTGATTCAATGGTTATCTTTTGATTGTTAAAGCTAAAGACGATGACGACCGATACTCCATCTTTCTTTGCAGTCCCAGATGAAAGAGGTTTTATAATTTTATGACTATACTTTAATTCTGTCTGTCGGTTAGTTTTCTTTGTATTTCTATTTCTTATCCTTAGCTCAGTGAATGGCTCAAAATTCTCCTTGTAAGGGGCGAATGTTTACGTAAAATATACGTTACTGTGGAAGTCCTCTGGGCGACAAATGGTGCAAATGGGTCGTATCACTATTTGGTGATATGTTTACGTTCGCCGTTTACGTACTTCCAATGAAAATAACACATCCATGATAATCCTACAAGTACTAGTAATGTTTTGCCACTTACAACCCCGTCCGCATATAATTATATTGTGCACATACTATGTGTAATCATTGATGAAATTGGAATGGTTTAGTAGTGAACATAGTTTATTGAAAGCTTTCCACATTTTATTCTCTTAGATAATGGCGCAGACTTAACCTCACTGATTCTTACCACTGCGTTGGTCGGTAAATTTGGAATAACCGCCTCCTATGCTATTGTGTTTTTGTACACAACAGAATTATACCCTACAGTGATACGGTAAGATATAATAATAGGCCTTTGTCGTTTTTAGATCGTGCCAATATTTTATGATTCATATAGTGTGAGCTGCGTCGGTGCCAGGTCTCTATCACACATTCGCCCACAATAAATGGATGGGATCAGGGGCGGATCCAGAAGTTTTGGT